AAACCCCAAACCCCAAATCCTAAACCCCAAACCCCAAACCCCAAACCCCAAACCCTAAACCTAAACCCTGAACCCTAAACCCCAAACCCTAAACCCTAAACCCTAAACCCTAAACCCTAAACCCAAACGGGGTTGAGACCTCGAAAACTGCAGGCTCAGGGCCTCCTCTACACTGCTCAGCGTGACGAAAGCGGAAAGAAGTGAGCCGCCGGCATGCCTTGGTTGGTTAGGGTTTGGGGTTTGGGGTTTGGGGTTTAGGGTTTAGGGTTTAGGGCTTAGGGTTTAGGGTTTAGGGTTTAGGGTTTAGGGTTTAGGGTTTAAAGGGGCGTTTAGGGGTTTTGGATTTTGGGTTTTGGGTTTAGAGGGTAGAGGGTTTAGGGTTCAGGGTTCAGGGTTTAGGGTTTAGGGTTTAGGGTTTAGGGTTTAGGGTTTAGGGTTTAGGGTTTAGGGTTTAGGGTTTAGAGTATCCGGTTCACCTCCTATGAACCACAAGATGCGAAGTCTGTGTCGCTCGGCCCTACGAGTACATTTTGCCTCCTCCCCTGCCTGGCTCACAACACTTCATCTACACCCTAAACCCTAAACCCTAAACCTTAAACCCTAAACCTACAGCCACCTACGTGTCAGGTTAGGTGCTAGGTCTACCCGCAGAAGTTGACTTTGCGGAGACACGTCACGCAAACTGCAACTGTGGAGAGGAGCCCCCAACGTGTCAGGCTTGTCGGAAACAAATGCTTGTAGGGATTTAGGGTTTAGGGTTTAGGGTTTAGGGTGTAGGTTTTAGGCTACATTGTTACATGCCAGTGAGTGATGCCCAGGTGCTTGACCAATTTCACCCGATCTATGGCCACAGAGTCCTGTCCACACCGACACACAACCAACACATACGCATCTTCACTCGTCTCACCGCAACAATAGCCTACACAGAGGGCAGTATCCCAAAACCATGAACCCTGAACCTCACCAAACCCCAAAACCCTAAACCCTCAACCCAAAGTCCTATAAAACCCTATAAAACCCCATAAACCTTCTAAACCCTATAAACCCTATAAACCCTCAACCCAACGCCTTTAAGCCCTATAAAACCCTATAAAACCCCATAAACCTTCCAAACCCTATAAACCCTATAAGCCCTATAAACCCTATAAACCTTCTAAACCCTATAAACCCTATAAACCCTATAAACCCTATAAACCCTATAAACCCTATAACCTATAAACCCCATAAACCCTACAAGTCCTATAAACCCTATAAACCCTATAAACCCTATAAAACCCTATAAAACCCTATAAAACCCTATAAAACCCATAAACCTTCTAAACCCTATAAACCCTATAAACCCTATAAACCCTATAAACCCTATAAACCCTAGAAACCTTCTAAACCCTATAAACCCTATAAACCCTGTAAACCCTATAAACCCTATAAACCCTATAAACCCTATAAACCCTATAAACCCTAAAAAACCCTATAAACCCTATAAACCCTATAAACCCATAAACCTTCTAAACCCTCTAAACCCCCATAGCCCTAAACCCAGACTCCCAGAAGGCCTCACACCGTTCCACAACCATGTCACGCACGTCATCTGCCTCGGCACAGACTTCAGCATGCTCGGGGTCCCACAGTTCGGCTTTTGGGGTTTAGGGTTTAGGGTTTAGGATTTAGGGTTTGGGGTTTAGGGTTTAGGGTTTAGGGTTTAGGGTTTGGGGTTTAGGGTTTAGGGTTTAGGGTTTAGGGTTTAGGGTTTAGGGTTTAGGGTTTAGGGTTTAGGGTTTAGGGTTCAGCAGCTCCCAGTCGAGCAATCTCTAGTAAAGCCGCTCTTTCGACTCTTGAAAAAAAAACCAGCCACCCGAGAATCCCAAAACAGTAAGAAATATTCTGTGCCAATTTTTCATGAGCAAGCCCTGTCCCCCAGCATCACTCTGTCGTGGAGCGGCCCAGGAGCCCAAAAAGAGGCACAGGCACCGGGGAGCTTTGAGTCGCAGGAGCTAACAGGACCGGGGCACCCTGTCATGGAGCGGTCCAGGAGCCCAAAAGAAGGCACGGTCACCGGGGAGCTTTCAGTCGCAGGAGCAACAAAGTGGCGGATCCTCCTCGTACAACCTCTTGATTTTTGTTTTCGGGCCCGAACAGCCCAAAAAAAACTAATCTTGCCAACCTCGTGCTTCTTGTTTTCCTCCACCCCGCCCTGGTACCGAGCACGAACAGCCACAAAAACCAAATTTTGTTAACCTCATGTTTCGGGCACGAACAGCCCAAAAAAAAAGAATCTTGTTAACCTGATGTTTCTTGTTTTCCCGACAGGCCCGAAACAGTCCGTAACGAAGAGGCGGGTGGCATCCACGTACAACTGCATGAGTGTGCTTCAGACTGCAATTAGAGTGCTTCCCTCTTTTCGCTACTTCGAGCCAATCCGCAACCCACCGCCAGAACCAACTAGACATTGGTACGCATTGACCAAAAAAAACTTGATTCTTGTGAACCTCATGTTTTCTGTTTTCCGTCACCCCACCCTCGAACCACTCAAGATGAGAAAGGATAGAGGGGGGGGGTGTCGAAGCCCTCATCTGCCCCAGACCTAGGGTTTCGAGCCCAAAATGGGGTTCTGGGCGCATGCGCAGCCCTTCCGGGTAGGGTTGCTTTTTTCTTGGGGGGGGGGGGGGGGGGGGGGGGGGCTAAAGGGGGGGGGGGGCTAAGGAGGGGGGGGCTTAAAGGGGGGGAGGGGCTAAAGGGGGGGGGGGCTCTAAACGGGGAGGGGCTAAAGGGGGGGGTAAGGGGGGGGGGGGGGGGGGGGGGGGCTAAAACCCATGGCCATTGGCAAAACAACCATGGCCATTGGCAACAAAAGCCGTGGCCATTTGCAATTTTGAGAAATTGTATTGAATTATATATATATATATATATATATATGTATATATATATATATATATCACTCCGCTCTAGAGCCAGCTCAGGTCCGTGCGGTCGATTCTGGTGGCAAAGGCCGCAAGAAGACCTCCCGGCCTGCCTGGCTTAGGGTTTAGGGTTTAGGGTTTAGGGTTTAGGGTTTGGGGTTTGGGGTTTGGGGTTTAGGGTTTAGGGTTTAGGGTTTAGGGTTTAGGGTTTAGGGTTTAGGGTTTAGGGTTTAGGGTTTAGGGTTTAGGGTTTAGGGTTTGGGTTTAGGGAGGGTTCAGGGGGTTCGGCTTTGGGGCTTTGGGACTTCAGGAGCACCAGGCAATATTGATACATGAGGTAGCCCTTCACTAACTTAACTGACATTGTAGTAGCCTTGACTGTAGGATTCTCAATGATCAACCGACCCGACCACAGCAGGCCCCCTGCTCAGGCACGGCAAACTCTCATCCGGCGCCATGCTGCAAAACATGCAAAAGTTGTAAAGAACCAGCTGTCGAGGCCCTCGTTCATGACCATCTGGACACTGCAACATCCATGTATTTTTTTCGCAAGAAAAAGCTGCAGTCGTGTTTCAAGCTATTTGGGCTGCTTGTCACGAAGCAAGCGGGGCAGTCCGCATGAACTTTCGGTGATTCGAGCCTGTTTCTCACTCTCCTTTTCCAGGGCTCTGTCCATGGAGCGGCTGCCCTGAACCCTAAGATGCTCGGCAACAAAACAAGAAGGCGCCCTTTCGAGTTTGAGAGTCCACTAGCATCTGGTCAGTTCTCTAAATTACGGTCCCTTTCTGGGTACCCTATATACGAGGAGCCGCCGCATAATGAGGACCCCAAAAGGCGCCATATTTCGTAGAGAAGTGACCATCTGAGAGGTTGCACAAAGTTTAGATGTGCGGATGGCCTCCCGCTCCCGCAACTTTTGAAGATACTCTGCCCGATCCACATCCATGGCAGCAGACTGGGCTTGAGACCCTAAATCCTAAACCCTAAACCGAAAACCCCAAAACCTAAACCCTAAACCCTAAACGCTGGGGCCTGTGTCGCCTTTGTAGGTCTGGGAGCTTAGACGCTGAAAAGTCCAGGAGTCTAGGAGGTGTATTAGTATTGTTGTCAGGGTCGTTCTCTCAATTGGGGTTTTTTGGGGCCGTACCAAGTATGGGACCCCAAAACAGGACCCTCATCTGCAGAACTGCCCTCAAGCTGATTAAGGTGATGAAGGTTGAGACGATTAAGTTAAAGAACCCTAAACCCTAAACCCTAAACCCTAAACCCTAAACCCTAAACCCTAAACCCTAAACCCTAAACCCTTAAACCCTTAATAGGGTTAGGAGGTGCAAAGTTCAAGATTCCTGCTGAGAATCGCCTGCGTGCACGTGCGATGTAGCTGTCTGGCGAGTGTCTGGTACAAAGAAGAACAGACCCCTATAATCCCTAAGCCCTAAACCCGAACCCTAACCCTAAACCCTAAACCCGAAACCCAAAACCCTAAACCCTAAACCCTAAACCCTGAACCCTGAACCCTAAATTGAACCCTAAAAGCCAACAGATCGACCTCTTCACTGGCGACAAGGAAGAACCCTGAAGTTTACCTTCTAGGCGTGGCCTTTACACTTCCGTAAAACCCCCCGCCCCCACCCCCCCAAGCATCCCAAAAATCCTCAAGCCCCCAAAGATGTGGCAAGGACAGCAGGCAAAAGCAGGAGGCATCGGACCGGGGGGGGGGGGGGGGGGGGGAAGGATACCTGAACCGAAGTTGGGATCCGGCACCGGGGTCCCTTCCCGGCTTCCTCAGCGCTTTTGCTTGGGGGCGGGGAACTTTGCCTGACCAAGAAACGGCCCCAACAAGAGATCTGTCAACCCTGATCACGCTCGGCTTTGGAGCTGTCTCTCAGGGTATGCACCAGAGTTAGGGTTTTAGGGTTTAGGGTTTAGGGTTGAGGGTTGAGGGTTGAGGGTTTAGGGTTGAGGGTTGAGGGTTGAGGGTAGGGTTGAGGGTTGAGGGTTGAGGGTTGAGGGTTGAGGGTTGAGGGTTGAGGATTTCGGGTTTCGGGTTTCGGGTTTCGGGTTTCGGGTTTAGAGTTTAGGGTTTAGGGTTTAGGGTGGTGCTCACTGCTCCGACTCGTGTCCCCACATGGAGGTCTCAGACTCCTCCGGGTCAGTGTCTTCCTGGATGTTGCGCAACGTGCTCAGCTTCATGAGGCTCAGGTCGATCTGCTCATAGACGATCTCCCCCACACCATAGGCACTGAGGGCGATGCTCAGCGCCTGACTTACACCCTGAAGAGGCGACAAGATGCAGAAGTAGTAGGAGTAGGAGGTCAGGGCCAGGCTCAGGACGCCCTCGAAGGACTTCTCCTCGTTCAAGACCTTGAGCAAGACCTTCTGGCTGGTTCTTCGTAGGGAAGGAGGGAAGGAGGTACCCTCTACAATCCCTTAAAGGGTATATACAGAAACTAATTCCCTCATCCCGACTAAGACCCAAGGGGCCTTGTGCATGATGCCCCTCTCCGTGCTTCGGCGAAAGGACTCGCAGATGCTGCATGGACTGCCATAGCACAGCTCCTGGAAGAAGGTTCGGAAGATAATTGCCGTCAGAACGAAGGCAAAGATGAAGTTGTCCGAAGCCAGGAGTGAGACAACGGTGACGAAGTCGAGAACAATGTCGAGGAGATAGAGAAAGATTTTCACGTTGAGGCAGCTCATGCTACATCGGCAGGCCACTTCAGGTTTCACGTCTTCAGGCCAACCGCCTTTTTCTTCTTCAGCCGTTTCTTCCGGGTGGAAGTTTAAGAGCTGTGGGACCTTGTCTTCAATTTTCTTGATGAAGTCTTCTACTGCGGCTGCCTGGAAGCATGTGCAAACCCAACTAAACGCAACTCACCCAAAGGATTCCACGAATCGATTCCACGAATCGAAATCAATAACCTTACCGCTACGTTGCACCCATAAGGCCTGCTGCTGTTGAGTGGCGAGGTAGATCAGGAGAGCCAACACATAAGCAACCACAAAACAGGCAGCCAGGGGTGCACTCTTCTGGATCAGGTCCCTCATGGTCACATGTGGAAGGGGCAGCCCATCAATCGGATTCTCTTCCAGCAACATCTGCTCAGCCCAGTCTGATTTCAACCTGGCGTTGATCTGCTTTAGAGCAGGGCTGGTGTCATCTTCAAACAACACAAGCCCTCCCAAGACCATGATGCGGACGAGTGCGACAAGTGCTGTGACAGGGCTGTGGGCAGCAATCACCAAAGCCGGCTGTCGCAGCAGCACAGCGAACGGCAGGTGATACATAGCCGGCAAGAGGAAGGAAAGTACCACCGCTGGGAGCCAGTAGACCCACCCCACCCGCACCATGCCATAGCCAAAGACTGCCACAACGTTTGCAAAGGCTTCTGCGATTCGCAACAATCTGAGTGCCAAGCCCTTCACGGAAGGCATGGCTGCCCTGGCCGCAAGGAGGTAAGCACCTGCACGGAAGGGCTCCTGGTCCTCACAAAGGCCCTCCCCGCATACATGAGTCTCCTGCAGATGCTCCTCCTTCAGGGTTAGTGTGCCTGGCCCGAGGGAAGATGTCTCCGGGTAGGAAGAACACATGCGCACGCCCTCCAGCCAATGTTGGACCACGACCAGAACAAGCGCCAGCAGCACTCCGGCGATCAGGGCATAATAGGTCTCTCTGCTCATAGAGACTTTGCGCAGGAGCCGGGAGACCGTCATCCGCGATTCCCACCATTCCCGCATGCCCTTGTCCTCAATCTGAGCCCAGATGGGTAAGTTGGTCCTAGGATCCACGGCCCAGGGGTTCTTCAATGTGGCTCCATGCTGGAGTAAGAACTGGAATACCTTCTGGTGCCCATTCTTCGCCGCCCACATGAGCGCGGTGAAGTTGTACCTGTCCTGAAACTCAGGGGCTGCTTTGCGCTCCTTAGTTGTCCAGTAACCTGGGGGAACTAAAGATTAACCTTTGGGACAATTTTAAGGGTAAATATATTGCCCCAAAAAGGCTAAAGGTTACCTACTCTGCTACTAGGGCTCCAATAAGACCTCCACGGCCCGCATGTGGCCATTCTGGGCAGCGCCCGTCAGCGGCGTGAAGCCACAGGAGCTCTGGTAGTCGGTCGTACCGTTGAAGTTAAGAAGGGCTTCCATTGTCTGCACCTGGTTATCGCTGGCAGCCTCCTCCAGGGGGTCTGCCGTCTGGCAACCTTTGGCATTCTTTAGGAGGTACTCAACGATGTCATTGTGGGCAAATGCAGCAGCTTCGTCCAAAGAGTCACAATGGAATAAGTTGCCTGGCAACAGCGCCTGGACTTTCGCTAGGTCGCCGTGTCTTGCCAGGCAACCCACATTCACCCCGCACTCCGCCGGGCTCATTCGATCATAAAAGCGATCGAGCCTGTCCTTCGCAGATTCCCTGGCCGCGACCGCGAGCGGGAGGAGAACAAGCAGCCGCACGGCCATGATTTCCGAACAGGTTGTTACCCAAAGTTCTGGTGGCTCGTGAAAACCCTGCGGGAAGGATGAGAACTTCCGAACCGTCTGCAACAGAAAGCCTTGCAAACACGTAGAGCCCTGCAAGCCTTCTGCCCTGATTCTACTTTCATCGGGCTGATTTGCAAACCACGTCCAACATCACGACATGCAAACAGCTCTTCAGTACGCAAGGGATCATGTTGCCATCGAGCGCATGGACACTTGTCAGGCTGTGAGGGATCCGAAAAAATTTTGAAATCATCGAGCACTCGTTTAGTACTCTGCAGCAATCATTCGTCAATGCAGGCGCTCCGATGCTTTGTGATTGCGGTGCCCTAGCCCACCAGCCTCGCCTGTGTTCTTTGCACAGGCGCAGCACATGGGTCTCCATCGTACGCTGGATCGCACTCACAGATGCGCAGGTTGCGCCAAAACCTCGTGTCGTTTCCAAGGCACACGGCTCTTGATCTGGGAAGGCAGTTTCATCAAGTTGTCATTAAAGAGATACATTAACGTGTACATAGTTGTCGTACATGATGTGGTTTCCATCTATGGTAACTCTATTTCACTTCTCAACAGCGAACCAGCAACAGTATGCAGCTTTCTTGAGGCCACGATGAATTCTAAGGCTTTGTGGCTTTGTGAAATTTGAATGCTCTGAAGCATCTGGTTTTCTCTCGGGCCGCATTATAACAGGGGGTGCCAACAGAAGTGCGTGCATCAATGAGCCCGAAGTTGTTGATCTTGCGCCTTACAGGGTTTAGGGTTTAGGGTTTAAGGTTTAGGGTTTAGGGCTTAGGGAACTGGAGCGATAGGGAAACTGCGGAAACTCTGCAGAGGCCAGCAACGAAAGTGCATCGGAATCCTGATACGCTATACTCTCTGTGCCACACCTGCGAACTCTATTGCTGGGGTTTAGGATTTGGGGTTTAGGGTTTAGGGTTTAGGTTTAGGGTTTAGGGTCAAGCCACTCGAATATGAGATGTTTGAACAAGGCCTTGCACGCTATAAAGCTTTGTATTCCGCTTTGACAACAGGCTTTTGCTTGAAGCTTGTCTGTCACTGTGCTGCTCCACTGCTCGCAATGCAACAGGCAGCAGATTGCATGCCCGTCGAGGTCCAAACTTTGTAGACGTACACTGCGAATTCAGCCATTGAAAACGAATTCGGCACATCACTTCCAATGCTCACAGGCAATGCGCCGGGATCTAGTCCGCGTGATAATGCGCACAAACACAACAAAACCAGACTCTCTAAGATGTTGGAGGCAAGGAGTTGGGCTCACCGCCCACATTGGTGACCTCGGGAATCGGCGCCCAGGTTTTGGGATCCCCGCCCACGACGGGGTAGGTTTTGGGATCGCCGCCCGCGATGGTGTCCTTGGGAGGCATGTTGGTGATCTCGGGAATCGGCGCCCAGGTTTTGGGATCCCCGCCCACGATGGGGTAGGTTTTGGGACCGCCGCCCGCGATGGTGTCCTTGGGAGGCATGTTGGTGACCTCGGGAATCGGCGCCCAGGTTTTGGGATCCCCGCCCACGATGGGGTAGGTTTTGGGATCGCCGCCCGCGATGGTGTCCTTGGGAGGCATGTTGGTGATCTCGGGAATCGGCGCCCAGGTTTTGGGATCTCCGCCCACGATGGGGTAGGTTTTGGGATCGCCGCCCGCGGTGTCCTTGGGAGGCATGTTGGTGATCTCGGGAATCGGCGCCCAGGTTTTGGGATCCCGCCCACGATGGGGTAGGTTTTGGGATCGCCGCCCGCGATGGTGTCCTTGGGAGGCATGTTGGTGATCTCGGGAATCGGCGCCCAGGTTTTGGGATCTCCGCCCACGATGGGGTAGGTTTGGGATCGCCGCCCGCGATGGTGTCCTTGGGAGGCATGTTGGTGATCTCGGGAATCGGCGCCCAGGTTTTGGGATCCCCGCCCACGATGGGGTAGGTTTTGGGATCGCTGCCCGCGATGGTGTCCTTGGGAGGCATGTTGGTGATCTCGGGAATCGGCGCCCAGGTTTTGGGATCCCCGCCCACGATGGGGTAGGTTTTGGGATCGCCGCCCGCGACGGTGTCCTTGGGAGGCATGTTGGTGACCTCGGGAATCGGCGCCCAGGTTTTGGGATCCCCGCCCACGATGGGGTAGGTTTTGGGATCGCCGCCCGCGATGGTGTCCTTGGGAGGCATGTTGGTGATCTCGGGAATCGGCGCCCAGGTTTTGGGATCTCCGCCCACGATGGGGTAGGTTTTGGGATCGCCGCCCGCGATGGTGTCCTTGGGAGGCATGTTGGTGATCTCGGGAATCGGCGCCCAGGTTTTGGGATCCCCGCCCACGATGGGGTAGGTTTTGGGATCGCTGCCCGCGATGGTGTCCTTGGGAGGCATGTTGGTGATCTCGGGAATCGGCGCCCAGGTTTTGGGATCCCCGCCCACGATGGGGTAGGTTTTGGGATCGCCGGTGTCCTTGGGAGGCATGTTGGTGATCTCGGGAATCGGCGCCCAGGTTTTGGGATCTCCGCCCACGATGGGGTAGGTTTTGGGATCGCCGCCCGCGATGGTGTCCTTGGGAGGCATGTTGGTGATCTCGGGAATCGGCGCCCAGGTTTTGGGATCTCCGCCCACGATGGGGTAGGTTTTGGGATCGCCGCCCGCGATGGTGTCCTTGGGAGGCATGTTGGTGATCTCGGGAATCGGCGCCCAGGTTTTGGGATCCCCGCCCACGATGGGGTAGGTTTTGGGATCGCTGCCCGCGATGGTGTCCTTGGGAGGCATGTTGGTGATCTCGGGAATCGGCGCCCAGGTTTTGGGATCCCCGCCCACGATGGGGTAGGTTTTGGGATCGCCGCCCGCGATGGTGTCCTTGGGAGGCATGTTGGTGATCTCGGGAATCGGCGCCCAGGTTTTGGGATCCCCGCCCACGATGGGGTAGGTTTTGGGATCGCCGCCCGCGATGGTGTCCTTGGGAGGCATGTTGGTGATCTCGGGAATCGGCGCCCAGGTTTTGGGATCCCCGCCCACGATGGGGTAGGTTTTGGGATCGCCGCCCGCGATGGTGTCCTTGGGAGGCATGTTGGTGATCTCGGGAATCGGCGCCCAGGTTTTGGGATCTCCGCCCACGATGGGGTAGGTTTTGGGATCGCCGCCCGCGATGGTGTCCTTGGGAGGCATGTTGGTGATCTCGGGAATCGGCGCCGAGGTTTTGGGATCTCCGCCCACGATGGGGTACTGGGTGTTTGGTGGCAAGGCCTTGGCATCGACACCAACCTTCAACTCATAAGAGGTTGAATCACCGACCCTGTTGGTGATCTTGGCTTTGGACTGCAGAAGAGCTGACTCATCGGGTGTCTCCTGCACACAGCTGGAGCAGGGCTGTGTCTTTGCACCAGCCCAGGTGATCCCCCAAAAGAGGGCCAAATGCAGTGCCATCATAGCTGACTTCCAGACTTCAAGACCACTCTGCCTAGCGTGCCCCCGCGCTTGAGCCCGGACTGCGACTGAAGCAACAATCAGCGCAGCCTTTGCCTCTCCACAAGCTCCTCCAGCGCACCTCGGCTTAGATCTCCACACCCGAGTTCGAATCTTCCGGTCGATGTTGGGCGAACCTCGGGTGTACCAGGAGTTTTGGGTTAGGGGTTAGGGGTTTAGGGTTTGTAGGGTTTAGGGTTTAGGGTTTAGGGTTTAGGGTTTACGGTTTAGGGTTTAGGGTTTAGGGTTTAGGGTTTAGGGTTTAGGGTTTAGGGTTTAGGGTTTAGGGTTTAGGGTTTAGGGTTTAGGGTTTAGGGTAACTGCTGGAAGATCCGACAAGGTAAACCAAATACGATGGATGAGGTTTAGAGCCCGGGCACAGGTTCATCACATGACGGATCAGCTGCACCGCGTCCTCCGCCGGCATTTGGCCCAAGCGCCAGATGCACCGGGACAGATCCTCACGCGTACGCTCCGCGTCAGATACATCTTCCGGGTGCTAGGGTGTTAGGGGCTTACGCTTTCCGGGTAGCACAGACATGTGGCTCCCGCACGCACTCATCTGCGCACTCCTACCTCAAGGCTTCCGAGGACTTCGGCGTCAAGGGTTCAGGCTTTAAGGTTCTTAAGGGCTTCTATACGGTTTTGAGGGTGGGTTCTCAACCCTTACACGGATCAGGAACCTCCAAGCTGAGCCCCACTAAACCCTAAACCGTGAACCCTAAACCTTAAATCGAAATAAGCGCTAAACCCTACAAGAGGTTCAGTGTTTACAGGGCTTACTGGGGGCCAGGGGGGGCCCCCCTAAACCAAAATCCTGAGCCCCTGTACACAAAGACCTGCCCTCCGTCGTCTCCTCGGGGCCACAATGGCAGGGCGAGACCGGGATCAAAGCATCCACCTCTTCTGGCATCTAAGCTTTTTTGGGGCCTGCCGTCTCCGGCTTGGATGGTACCCTAAACCCTAAACCCCAAACCCCAAACCCCAAACCCCAAACCGTAACCCGAAATTCCCCCTCAAGCTACGACTCACAGAGCCTTTAGGGTGGGGCCTCGACCTCCCTCGAAACCCCCCCTTTCAAGCAAAACGCACTCGGCACCGAAGCTGTTGTAGCCAAGAAAGCCATTGGCCCTCTCACAACTCCGAGCTTCTTTCTTCCCCAGTTCTTGCGAAGTCTGGGCCACTCTGACCACAGGGGCCTTTGATAGTTGAAGGCGCGATGATAGCATACTTCTACCGAGAACCATAAGGGAATACTAGTAGTAACGATTCTATACCCCTAAACCCTAAACCCTAAACCCTAAACCCTAAACCCTAAACCCTAAACCCTAAACCCTAAACCCTAAACCCTAAACCCTAGGGAGCCCAAGCCTGCTGCATCCACAAGACGCCGATGCGGCGTTTGGCAAGGATACCTGGCAGCTCCTTGTGCGCCGTCGCAAGGGCACACAAGACGGCAAGGCCTGCCAAGGCGACATGGTTTGGGGTTTAGGGTTTAGGGTTTAGGGTTTAGGGCTTAGGGCTTAGGGTTTAGGGGGGTTTAGGGCTGAGGGTTTAGGGTTTAGGGTTTATTGGTACGATGATGGCTAGGAGTACTAGTGCTACGAGTAGCATTGTTAGCACTACTGGTGCTATTGCCATGATTACTGTTACTACTGCTACTATACTACGATGGTGCGATGATTGTTCTACGCTTACTAGAACTATGTCCGTTGGTACTGTTTCTGCTCTGATTGCTATTCTTGCTATCGTCGCTGCCAATTCTATTGTGGTTATTGTTGAATTTGTTGCTTTTGTTTCTACGATTACGAAGTCTATTGATATTGCTACTGTCATTACTAGCATTGTGATTCTTCTCAATGATGATGATTATGACTATTGTGACTACTGCGACTATTGTTACTGCTAGTTCACTGGTTGAGGCTCGGAGCGGGATGCAAATCTATGTCCACGTGGACCCTAACAGTGTCACGCCACTAAGAGCTCTCGAAGAGCATTTTCCAAGAGCACATGCAATGTGCACCCACGCTGTCTCCGCCACAGAAGCAGTTCACATACTCACAACGGTTCCCCACGTGAGCAGTCATGAAGGGGTACTAACTAAGCAGCGGGCACAGCGTGAAGCGACTCAGATTGCTGCTAGAAAAACCGGGGCCACCAGCAAATCCATAGCCACAACAAGTTCTCATCCCCTCCATGCTGCGGACGCACAAACTAGTATGCTCTCCCCATGCACCTTCCAACTCAGCTCTGGTCATTCCACAAGAGTCTGGGGCTCACCCAAGATCCCAACAGCGCGTTGAACCTTGAAGCCCTTCAAACCCCTAAATCCCTAAACCCCTGAATCCCTAAACCCCTGAACCCCTAAACCCCTAAACCCTAAACCCCTAAATCCCTAAACCCCTAAACCCCTAAACCCCTAAACCCCAAAACCCCTAAACCCCTAAACCCTAAACCCCTGAGCGTTGAACCCTGCAGGGCACCTCGGAAGTCTGTCTGACCCAGCTGCTGCAGCCACAAAGTGGTGAACTCTTCTTGCGCCTGCAGGGTTTGGGGTTTGGGGTTGGGGGTTTAAGGTTTAGGGTTAAGGGTTAAGGGTTTAGGGTTTTAGGGTTTAGGGTTGAGGGCTGAGGGTTGGGGTTGAGGTTGTGAGCTGCAGCTTAGGTCTGGACGCCCGGGGGGAGATTGGGGGGGGCGGGGGGGGGGCAGGTTGGAAGGTTCCTGGTGGATGTGAGCTGAATCCTGACTCCGCAACCGCGAGTCCAACTACTTGTAGAGGTGGGCCCCTAAACCCGAAACCCTAAACCCCAAACCCTAAACCCTAAACCACTAACCCTGAACCCCGAACCCTAAAGGCCAAAACCAACAAGGCTTTCGTCCGCATAAACCGGTTGATGGTGCCCTGGTGCACATCCCCTTGTTGCATCGTTTCTACAGGATTCCTAGCTGCAGTGATGTGTGACACGTGGGGTTGTCGCTTTAGGTATGGGGTTTTGGGGTTTTGGGGGTTTTGGGGTTTTGGCGTTTTGGGGTTTTGGGGTTTTGGGGTTTTGGGGTTTGGGGGTTTGGGGGTTTGGGGGTTTGGGGGTTTGGGGTTTTGGGGTTTTGGGTTTTAGGGTTCTGAAGTTCCCAAGCCGAGAATCCTTCATGAGGATGGCGTGCTGGAAGGCAGGGCCCATACGCAAGATGCTCGCCCAAGCCCGGCGCACTGCCGCCCGTGCTTTGGAACCTGGCAGGCATAGCGGCGGTAGCGTTCTTCGCACAGCCACTGCTGGGCCTATTCGATGTGTCTGGCCACCACAGGTGCCCTAGCAGGTCCTGTCCAACTTAGGGTTTAGGGTTTAGGGCTTAGGGCTTAGGGCTTAGGGCTTAGGGCTTAGGGCTTAAGGTAGTAGAAGTTGCAATGCGAGTTCTCGTGGTTCAGAATGCAGGCTCTGTGCTTCTGATTTGCCAAGGCACTGCACTTCCGAGCAGCATTTGTGTCGGAGACATTGTTCACATGCGGCGCCATCGCCTCAAAGTCAAGTCATCATGGAGTCCAAGTCTCTTATGAAGCAGGGTTTATATTACTGTTCTTGGTGAGTGTATATAAGGTTCCTTTTTAATATCGGTGAGTGTATATAAATATATTTGGCGTCCTTTTGGGGGTACAAGAAATACAAACCCTACTCCATAAGCAGGGGCCATCGCTGGCTCCGAGCCAGGACTTAAAGTCCACTCTCTGAAAGTTTCTGCCTTTGTAGGGCCCCAGGTGCGATACATCTCTGCGGGCCACACGGTTTAGGGTTTAGGGTTCAGGGATTGGGGTTTAGGGACCCCCAATGTACGATGAAACGCCGCTTCCAGTCAGCAGGCCCTGTACAACCCTACAACAAACCCCCCCTAAACCCTAAACCCTAAACCCTAAACCCCCTTAACCCCTTAAAGCCTCAGCCCTCAACCCTGGTTTTCGGCACGGTGTAGAGCCTGCCTCGACCTCATCCGATGCGAAGGACCACGTCAGCCGCAGCTTCTCAGACTCGTCTTCCTGGCCACTTAGGGTGTAGGGAGGGTTTAGGGTTTAGGGTGTAGGGTGTAGGGCTTAGGGTTTGGGGTTTAGGGTTTAGGGTTCACGCTACTAGCCAAGCAACCCCGCACCCTTGACTTTTGCACCTCCGTGGATGTTGGGGTGCAGGGCTCAGGTTGGTCTTTCAGACACCACCTAAGCCCCGAATGCCCCCTCAATCCTATCGCTACGCATGAACAAGCCCTGCAGCCCCACCCCCTCCACCCCCAAACGACCAAACATGCCCCTCCTGGAACAGAGGCAAAGCTGTCCGCAGCACGAGGCGTTTTGCCGAACCTGCGCAAGCACAACTACATGGGCTTCAACAGAGCGCAAACGCCGGGTAGTTTAAAGCCCCACCGCGACCCGAAAAAGCAAAACAACGGAGCCTCTGGGGCATCTCTGTACGAAAGTTGGGCTGAGGTCTGGGGCCTCTACCAGCTAGAGACACCTGAAGCTTTTGGGCTTCCTTCTGGGGGGCTTTTGGCATTTGAAGGTTTTTGGGCGCTTTGGGGCTGTCAGCTCTGGAGCGAAGTTCGGGGTTTGAAGGATTTGGGGTTTGGGGTTCGGGGATTCCACTGGATTTCAGGGTTTTAGAGTACGTTCCAACAAGAGAGCCTCCCAACTTTGCGGGCTTTCGCATGGTTTGGGGCTGAGATTAAGGGTCTGGATGCTTTACCACATATATATATATATATGTGTCTAGCTGTATAGGTGTGCTTATACACATAAATGAGCATATTGTAAACATACCTCAATAACCCCTGAACGCTGAACCCCGCATCGGCCTAAAAGCTTCTTCATCCCGGCGCTGGTTTGCGACGCTTTGCTCGCCGATGCGCTTCGCAGAAGCTGCGCAATCATGTGGACGAAGAAGAAGGCACCTTGGGTTTTAGGGTTTAGGGTTTAGGGTTTAGGGTTTGGGGTTTAGGGTTTCGGGTTTAGGGTTTAGGGTTTAGGGTTTCGGGTTTAGGGTTTCGGGTCTAGGGGTTAGGGTTTAGGGTTTGCGGTTTAAGGTTTAGGGTTTAGGGTTTGGGGTTTAGGGTTTAGGGTTTAGGGAACAAAGAAAGGAGAAGAGGTAGACTGACTTTGCCACGACGGCAACACATAGAATGCAAAACACACAGGAGGCACACGTCAGGAAGAGGCCGAAGAGCAAGAAGTACGCAGACCTCGGGGATCGGAAGTGCTCTGCCACTTTGTGGGAAAGTGTGTTTGAAGATTTCTCGGGCCTGGTTGTGTTCTCGACCGACGGATGCAAAACGAGCAAAGCCGCGATCAGACTGAAGAGGCAGAAGCGCACGGCGGTCAAGATCACCTCCAGAGGGAGGACTCGCCGAAGGGTTTAGGGTTTAGGGTTTAGGGGTTTAGGGTTTAGGCTTTAGGGTTTAGGGTTTAGGGTTTAGGGTTTAGGGTTTAGGGTTTAGGGTTTGGGGTTTAGGGTTTAGGGTTTGGGGTTTAGGGTTTAGGGTTTAGGGTTTAGGGTTTAGGGTTTAGGGCGAAGGCCCCGGAACAGCGTGGACGCAAAGGTTTGGTTGGGGGGGGGGGGGCCGCCCATCCAAACCCGCAAGGGCCCCCAGCTCCGTCCGGGGCCACGTTCCACCCAGCCCGGTGCCTTTCCCATGTTTCCCAAAACCTTGCCGTTTGTGGAAAAAAGGCTAGAGATCGTGCCAATTCCGCCGCACTCAGCTTCGAGCCCGGGTTCAAATCACAGCCGGAAGAGCGGAGTCCTGCGCTGAGCCCCTACCTTCTGATGCAGCGCCCTGGGCAAACGTCTTAAACCTCCAGCAACCCCTTGCCTCTGGCGAACTCGCACTTTCGAAGTTCAAGGATCGAGGGATCGTGGTTTGGGGTTTTTCTCCACATTTCTTCGACAGCGGACCTTGAACGTGCAGCCTTTGCCCTGCCTCGAAAGAGCAAGGTGTTGGCCTCGTCAGCGCTTTTGCCTCCACAAACGAACCCGGGCTCTTTCCTGCAAGGGATCTTTGGACCACAACGTCATCCTCGAAACGCGCCCACTTCCGTGGCACCTGCACCATCGGTGCCCGAGAACGCCATCTTGGTCTCAGCAACGGAATTCATCCGAAGTTCCGAAGGCCGGGCCCACGCTCAGCTCCAAGCGTCCTCGGAGCTCGGCGGGGCCTATGCTCACAGCCTTTCCTCGTTCTATGTCCCCTCGGAACTTCTCTACTGCGAAGAGAAGCCACGGCATACTCATCACGTATCCGATGAATCGGAATCGCTTGAACATGTTCCAAACCTGAACCCGTCGAGCTGTTCATGGTGATGTGAACTGGCCCTTCAGCTGTCTGGGTCTGCAGGACCACGTCTGGCTACCTGTTGCACATTTGGCCGCGCCTGTGATCGAAACTGGAATCTTTGCCAGATCTTCCGAAAACAACCCTAAACCCGAAACCCGAAACCCTAAACCCTAAACCCAACTTAAAGCCAACAAAGGACATGCTATTCGGGAACCCCCTCGAGCTGACCTGCCTAGAGTCCCCCGGTTTCCCAGGCCGGCCCCAGACCTTGAATGTGAAAAAGTAGGGTTTAGAGTTTAGGGTTTAGGTTTTGGGGTATACTGACTTTCATGAGGGACCAGCACCGGTCCCGAGAAGAACTTGCTCCGGTTTTGCTCTGGCTCGAAGGAGGGCTCGGTTTAGCCATCACTCGCCCTGCACCTTGCTCAGGTGCCAGAAACGCTTCGGGAAAATCTTGGAGTCGAACCCGAATGTTGAGAAAACAGCTTCTTTGTTTTTTCCTCCAGTTTGCCCGGCCCTTCCTGATCTTGCTCCTTCGGCAGCAGAATCGGCCACCTCTCAACCAGGCAGCCCCCGCTGCCGTGAAATCATTTGTTAGGTGTCACAGGTCAACAGCGTATTGAGCCAAACAAAATCGATCAGTTCAAGATGAAGTGAAACCTGCACCTGCACAACATGACTCTACCACAATGGCAGGCCCCATTCCCGAAACGTTAAGCCCCCAAAACTCCTCAGCAAGTCCTCAACCCAAGGCCACCAAACCTAAACCGCAAGACTCTCGACCCGACGCTCAGACCAGTGCACCTCCAACGTGTCCAGGACTTGTGCCTGGTCGTTGGCGTAGGGTTTGACCCAGGCCGCCAAAATCCCCTGCGCAAGGGCCGGAAGATTCGTGCGTTGAAGCTTAGGCAGGAGGGGTTCGGCGGGTCCGGTTTCTCAGGTTCTCGACCAAAAGTGTCAGTTTGAAGGTGTCCAGTTGAGGTCTTAAGGGCTGTTGCCCAGAAATCCTAGCAGGAAGCTTCCCCGACAAGTCTAAAGGCAACAAAACTGATTGAAGAACGAACCCAGGTAGATGGTTGAGCTCTCAACCCTAAACCCTAAACCCTAAACCCTAAACCATAAACCCTAAACCCTAACAACCCTAAACTCCAAGCGGCACCTGCACACCCGAAAGGAGAGGAAACAGCAACAGCTTCGACGCAGGCTCCTGCACCTCGACTCGCAGGGAAAACCCCAACAAACAAGCAACATGTCAGCCTGCCTCGGCGGTGTGTATACCTAAACCCTAAACCCCAAACCGCAAACCCTAAACCCTAAACCCTAAACCCTAAACCCTAAACCCTAAACCCTAAACCCTAAACCCTAAACCCTAAACCCTAAACCCTAAACCCAAGCTTTGCTGAGAAGATCCTAGGGCGCGATGGAAGTGTAGGTGACGAGCATCATCAAGCCAACGTCGGTCCGCTTCACCAGAATGTCCCACCTTGGCTGTATTCATGAAGAACAGCGGCTGAGGGTTTTGGGGTTAGGGGTTAGGGTTTAGGGTTTGGGGTTTGGGGTTTAGGGTCTAGGGTTTAGGGTCTAGGGTTTTGGATTTAGGGCTTAGGGTTTAGGGTTTAGGGCTGTGGGCTTAGGGCCTTTTGAGTCTTCCTTCAGGAGCTATTTGGAAAAAGTGCTTCTGAACAGACCAGTCCCAGCTGCCACCAGTAGTCGGGCTCCAAACCCTGCTCGGTTGCTCTTCATGCCCCCAAGAAAAGTTTAACTTTTAGATCCCTTAAATATGAAATTAGAGGAACCCTTAAACCCTAAACCCTAAAACCCTGAACCCTAAACCCTAAACCCTAAACCCTAAACCCCAAACCCTAAACCCTAAACCCTAAACCCTACGCATGCAGCCTGGATGAAGTAGCCGAAGCGCCGGGTGCTGTCAGGCGCCTGGCGATCCAAGCGAAAGAGCAGAGCCGCCAGGGCCAGGGGGAGTCCCAGGCACCTGGGCGGGGCGGAACTGCCAGCATGACCAGGGGTTTAAGGTTTAGGGTTAGGGGTTTAGGGTTTAGGGTTTTGGGTTTAGGGTTTAGGGTTTTGGGTTTAGGGTTTAGGGTTTAGGGTTTAGGGTTTAGGGTTTAGGGTATAGGTTAGGGAACCCCAGCTCATGGGATACAAGAGCTCAGACTCCAACTTAGTCTCGAAGTTCGGGTCGGCACCGTAAAACCTCCCTGAACCTCCGCGACCTCGGAAGGGCACCGGGGCATGTCAAAAGCTATCGAGATTAGAGTGCCGGGCCCTCGCGTCTTGGGTACCCAGATATGCGTATATTGTCCAAGGTAGACGTTAAGGCTTCAAATCCAAAGCTAGCACCAGTACCCCCCAAAATCCTGATCCGCAAGCGCCAAACCCTCCATCCTAAACCCCCAAAGGCACCAAACAACGAGGCCGGCAATGGCGAGCCCGGCGGAAGGAAAGTGGGCATCGGTCCAGCACTCGACGTCCGGGTTCGGAAATAGACGGCTCACTACCTCGCCGTCCTCAAGGGGTTAGATAGAGCCCTCCTTCTGGTCTGTTGCTGTGAGGCCCACTGGACTCTGTATTTGTCTAGCAGGGGTTCCTAGGTTGATCCTCTTGCCCTCTTCAGCTACTGAGGCGTTGCTTTCTCTGTCCAGCTTCTGCCAAAAAACGCGTTGGCCTGACTTTGTAGTCCAGTCCCTTTCAGTCCTCTGAAATGGGCACGCACCAAAGCATTGCCAGGAAGTTTGACAGGAGTCCCGGCCACAGGGAGACCAATGCGATCCACATTACCTGGAATGCGGGTTCGGTGCTTCCAAGCTTGCTTTTGTTGTTCGTTCATGTCCCACCTTCTACCATCCCACTTCTCCTTACGGCAGGGCGCATGCTTCATACGTACCGCCAGCCCGGCAAGCAACATTAGGGCTTGATTCAGAGCCAGTCTGTGCCTCAAGAAGACAGCGGCGCCCTACGCTGGAGCTGAGCGCTTTTGCTGGCACAGTGGCAGTTTCGACCCCAACTTAGCCAAGCCCCCAGAGCCCGAAACCAAGACGCCACTCCCAACCAAAAACCCTCAACCCTGAACCCTAAACCCTAAACCCTAAACCCTAAACCCTAAACCCCAAACCTGTGTCCCAGGTGCAGGCACACTCTGATAGACCAGCTCGCAAAAACGCGGATGTTGAGAGAAGAGCCCAAACTCCAGGGAGTCCATGGCCTAGGGTTTAGGGTTTAGGGTTTAGGGTTTAGGGTTTAGGGTTTAGGGTTTAGGGTTTAGGGTTTAGGGTTTAGGGTTTAGGGTTTAGGGTTTAGGGTTTAGGGTTTAGGGTTTAGGGTTTAGGGTTTAAGGTTTAGGGTTTAGGGTTTAGGGTTTAGGGTTTAGGGTTTAGGGTTTAGGGTTTAGGGTTTAGGGTTTAGGGTTTAGGGTTTAGGGTTTAGGGCTTAGGCCTAGGCCGAAACGGTTTGAGGCCCCGCCTGGTTCAGACTTAGACATTCATCGATATATGTTTTTCTACATGTACATATACGTTTTTCTCCATGGACCTGCAATGCATACATGTCTGCGTATCTACGTACATATACATATATATATATATATAGATAGATAGATAGATATGCATGCATACATACATATGTTGTGTCTGGAGTTTGACAAATCCTCCGAGGCCTCGTCGATCTCCGGGTCTAGGTCGAATTCAGACGTTGGCGGCTGAATCTGCAATATCCTTGGACATCTGGCGGTTTCACGAGTCTGAACCCCAAACCCTTTCAAGACAAATCCCAAACACTCTATAGGCCCTCAAAACACGAAAGAGCCTTCTTTGCAAGCTTTCAGACGCCTGAGTCCGATCACGGACCAGGGGTACCTGGGCTCTTGCAAGGCCGAGAGTCGGAAGGTGCACGTCAAGGACGGGCGCTTCTGCCAAAAGCTGTGCCTGCACGTGGGGCGGGCCGGGCAGGCACGCGGCGAGGACCTTGTCCAGCAACTCGGTCAAATTGGCGGCTTCCTGGGCAAAGTCTCTCCGCAGGTAGGGGCCCAGGTCCATCTGCGACAGGGCTTCCTCGTCCAAGGGTGCCAGGCCGAAGTCCTTGGACAGAGCCTCGTCCGTCGCCAGGTCCCCCTGAGCCCTGACTGCACAGGCCCGGATCATCAAGCTGCGTGAGGCCACCACTGACTGTCGAAGGAAAGTGTCCGGCTGGGCGACGTCCTCTTCCAGGCCCGGACGTATCTGCAAGGCACCGGACATCTCGATGTCGGCCCAAGACAGCGATGAGAGGCCCGCTTGGTCCAGTGTGTCCTCCACTGCCTCGCGGAGACGGGCCAGCAGTTTGCCGCGGGCGAGGCGCTTCTTCCCAGCCTCACGAAAGATCAGGCAAGTATGTTCCCGAACATAACACAGGGGGTTCCTTTAAAGAGATTATACTTTCGGAGTCCGTATCTGACGCTTTTAATTTAACAGGCTCTCCCTGGCCTCGTTGAAGGAGTACCCGAGCCGCGAGGCCAAGGGCACCAGGATGTTGACAGCCAGCCAACAGACCACCACCGCACCGACGACGACCAGGAGAGGGAGGACGATGTTGTACAAGCCCAAGGCGATGCGAGCAGCCGAGGGGTGGTCGGACAGCTCCTAGGGAGGAAGGCTTTCGGCATGTAAACGATGCAGGAACATGGAGCACGGACATGCATAGACCCCAAAAGCAACGTATGCAAGACCACTAAAGAGCTTTCCAGAGGAAGTTTCCACGCACTCCGAAGCGCCCGCCACGGTGCTGGGCCCTCTTCCTTGACGGGCCTCCCTTTCTGTGGATTTTTGGGCACATGCGGGCAGTTTTGTGAAGTATGGGTCCCCCTTTTGATGCCCCGTTGGGCTCTTGAAAGTGGCGCTGGGAGCCTTGGAGTGAAGTTTCATGACACGCACGGGAAACCCGGCGGGAGCGCCATCTCGACAAGTTCGGGGCACGCAGGACTGCCAATCCAACCCTCCCTACTCGGAATGTTTGACCCGCCCATAGAGTGATCAGACTAATCGGAAGATATAACGAAGATTGAAAGTGTTTACTTCACACAAAACCCCAAAAAATGAACAC